GTCGAAACATAAAAGCTTAAAATGTGTTACTTGATTTCAAGTTTACTGGAAATACTCTCTCAGTCGCTTTTTTATTTTTTTTTGCCTCGAATATTGTATTCATCTGAAAAAAGGAAAATAACTATGGAGTAGAAATAACACATTTTTAATTAAACATAATGTGATTATGTTTACCCCACACAGTCTCCAAGAAATTAATTCAGGGATAGCTCGTTTTGCGACGCCGGGCAAAGGAGATTTTTGTTGGGTCTTAGTAAAATTTATTTGATCCCCCCATAAGGCTCCATGATGCTCTTTGTATCCCCCCTCCCCCCGATATTGACTGTTAATCAGCTGTCAATCTTTTATAGCTCCCCCCTTATACTCTGTTGGTGACAGCTGATTCCCACCCCCCATGTGCCCCCTAAAAGTATGTGATCCCCAAATCCTCCCCCCTCAAGGCGGCTTTTAAGATATAATTTCCATTTGTCTTACCAAATAACAGCGTTGTCGGTCCACTTATATCTTGGTTTGATGTCTCCACTTTTAATTGAATAAGTGAAATACAAGACCGCAGTAATATAAAATGTAGTAATCATATAGTGGAAAAAGGACATACCTAAGTGAATGATTTGTGGGGGTGTAAAGTGTTTCCTTAAACGTCAAAGGACTTGTCGATGAAATTAAAAATTATGTAGCAGAGGCTCTCTAGAAACACTGCACACGTTCGGAAAAAAAAACCTCCCTAACCAGCTGTTTCCATGCTGCCTGTAGAGCAAGGAAAATTTATTGCCGCCCCCAATTTTATTTAAACTTCATAACAAATACTGACTGGTAGTGTAATTTACATATGAAAAGCTTCTGTATAATGTCTCGCTGTAGTTTTTTAAATGTCAAAAGTTTTTCGAACCCTCAATCTGTAGCGGAAGTAGTACCACTACAGAATCCTACAGCCATATTTTAATTTTGATTTCCAACTAACGCAGTGGTGACAGTTTCGGACGCAATTAAAAATGCAAATGTGACACTTTTTCAGCTGGATGACATCAGCCGAAGCGAATCTGTTTCCGCACGCTAAGTCGATCGTCGAGACCAGCAGAAAAGGAAAGTAGGACCGGGGTGCTATCCATTAAAATATAGAGGATGTTGCGAATTAAAAATGCAACGATGAATGGTACACAGTCATCGAACTGCTTCGATCCTACAGCAAGAAAAGTCGGTTACACCGTCACTTACTTCCTCTTACTCGTGGTTTCGTTGGCTGGAAATATTCTCGTTGGGATAATTGTCTTCAAGACGAAACGCATGAGAAAGCCCATAAACTTTTTTATTGTAAACATGGCTATTTCCGATCTTCTCTTCCCGATTTTCCTTTTCACCCCAAAGCTTATGGTGCTGCTTAACAACGGTCCTTGGATAATCAGTGGTGTTGTTGGTCAGATGTCATGCAAGCTGCCTCATTTTCTTACAGATGTCTCCTCGTTTGTATCCATCCAGAGTCTGATTCTGATAGCAGTGGATCGATTTGGAGCTGTGATGTTTCCTCTTCGTTCTCCACTCATCGGTTCAAAACTGTGCTGTCTCTTCATTCTGGGCACTTGGATCGTTGCGATGGCTATCCAGTCTCCATTCCTCTTCGCCCTAAAACTCGTTGACAACAAAGAACGAGTACGGTGCGCTTTGAGATGGGAAGAAACCTTTGGAAATTCGTCGTCTTTCGAAAACTACGCTTTAGCAGTTATAATTTTAATGTTCTGTCTTCCTTTGGTTTTGATCACCTTACTTTATCTCTCCATTCTCCTTAAACTCAAGACCCAGGCGATTCCTGGCGAGGGATCAGACAATGCGAGAGAACAACGTGAAAAAAGAGAGCGGAATGTGTTGAAGATGTCCATCGCTATCTTGACAGTGTTTACAATATGCTGGCTACCACATAATATCCACTGGTTCATGTCTTTATTTCCGCCGGAAAAAATCGTTTTAACGTCGTGTAGTTTCCGTCACTTCGGGTCGATTGCGTTCCTTCTGGGTAGCGCAAATTGTGCTATAAACCCTGGCGTATGTTTCATTTTCAGTGAAAATTATCGGCGTGGTCTCAAGAATCTTTTTTGTTGCGCGACTATATCTCAGGCGTAATCTAGTAGCACCGTAGTGGCACTTTAAATTAGACGGGATTGGTTGCTGAACGAGTCACTTAAACATGAAATACCCAGCAACGCTCAGCGTCATCGGTAGGAACTGTTAAACAAACTGATCGCTTTTAACTTGTGCCTTCGAAAACAGAACCTGCACTAAAAATCTTAAAAAAATTTACCTGTTGTCTGATATCTTAACCGCAGATGCTTCACTTTTTTGTTTGAACTGTGTGGTCACTTAAAGTATTAGTTTACCTAAGGAACAGCAGCATCTTGGAATTATACAATGAGAGATTATTCTTTATTAGCAAAATTTAATGATATTGATCTATCAGCTAAATTCACAATTCTAACGGGATTTCTGTTTTTCTGCTCTGATAATTGCTCTATATTTATTTTTCGGAGAGGAATTCAACAGAATGAAAAACTATGACAAGCCATCATGTCTTTATTCAATAAAATGACGACTTCCGTTTCTGGCAAGCTCGACCAAAATGTCATAGCCCGGCTGTCAGAGCCCGGCTGTCAGAGCATCGGTCTAAGCTGTTAAAAAATGAGCTTAACAGTACCATACAATTACCTCTTTTTTAAAAATGAAAAACAGGGCAATATCACACGAAAGTTATTTCAGTATCTTTGCAACGGCACATTCAATTGTAGAGAGCAAGGCCTAATTTCACATATCTTGAGAGTGTAATTCGTTATTAAAATAGTCTTCATTATGTTTTACTCCAGATAAAAATTTGTCATACAATCGGTCGAGAACATCTTGACTGTATCAGTTAGTATTTGGGAAATTTTTACAACGGTGTTAAAACTTTGATTAAAATTTGCGGTCATGACGACCTCTTTCGTAAATAAACATTTCAAAAGGTGAGTTGTTTATGTTGGTTTATTGAAAATGAAAAATAAATAATTGAGTTAAAATGGCATCATGTATCCTTTTCAATATGCGTCGATCAATTGGAAGCTTCAGCATTCCCCCTGGGCAACCCCAGGGCAACCGGGTTCGTTCAAATTCCCACCCCCCGAGGCAAAACGTGTGTCCATATGCCCTACCCAAGTGCCGGGTTGATGGTCAATTGTTTTGTAAAGGGCAAATTCAGCGGCCGTTATATACGTTACTTTCTTCTCATTGACCAAGCTTAAAAACCCAGACCTTGTGGAACCTTTCTTCTGAGCCATCCGCTCACGAAAGTGAACTTTTTAAATTTAAACGCTCTAAAAACACGTGCGCTCCATGTACGGGTCTTTTGCAATTTTTTTTACTCTGCCTTCAGGTTAAGGAAAAAGTAAACATCTTTCGCTCACAATGCTGCTTAAGTCAGTTTCGTCCTGTTAAACCACAATTTTACATTCCTTTTACCTTTTTTATACTTTCCACGGAAAAATGAGCAAAATAAAGACGTTCTCAATTGACCCGCGGCTTGGGTATGTTCTTGGTATGTTTTTAGTATTTTGGTTAGTCTCAGCCTGAACGTTCTTATAAGAAGGGAAAAGCAGTTCTTATTGAAAAAAAAAAAAAAAAAAGGGTGCAGCAACATTTCCCTACCTGGGATTTAAAAATCTCCGTGTTAACTTCCTTTGAAGTAACCTGAGCATTTTATTTAAATTGCAATTAGATTGACTTATTGCGATCGCAAGTCACAAGTCTTTACGAATTTTAATGACAGGTGACGAGGGACTTGCAAGGCAACGTAACTTTGTTGATTGCCACTGTACATTTTATGTGACACGAATGTGAGAAATTCAATTTTGCTTTTGAGGGGGCTGGGCTCGCGGTAAACCAAACATTCATAATTGTTATTTCGTATGACTCTACCTTTTATTAGGTTTACAAAGATATCTACTTTTCAAGGGTTTTGTTAAAAGTGAAGCGCGAATGAACGATTTTCCAGAAGACAACCTAAATCGTTTTTCCCCGCACATTTATCTCAGTACAGCACTGCTGCTGTAAGTCTCTCTCAAAACTATTAATGAATAAAGAAATGAAATAAATTAAAAACAGAAAACAAAAAAAAGAGTCATTAAGTTATTTCTCAGAGTTCATCCAAGCATATATTCTTCTTGTGGTAGTATACTGGGAATGTCAGACCAAGTTCCCTCCGAAAGAAGAGTGTTGTGTGACATTAAAACCGAAGGAAACGGAGGAGACCAGTTTTGGAGGACTTTGGAATGATTAAGATTTACTCCATTCTTTTCAGATGATCTTGAGCTGGCGAACTTTCCCTAAAAACAACGTTTGCCCAACGTGGCACAATCCCAATCCGCACCCTTGAGAATTCCCGCGCAGTTCCTAAAAAGAAGCGTTACGCCCGGCAAACATTTTGTCAAGGAGAGGTTTTGCATTCCAGTAATATGCGAGCTTGAGCCGTTTTTAAGTCAAAAGCGAGGTAGGCGATTACCAAAGGCTCGAGACTCGAGACCGAAATTCAGTTCTGCTGAAATGCAACGATCACGAGAAGGTGTTTGGATTGTATGTGGACTCAATCGGTAAATCCGATGTTTGAATGTGAAATACAACAATGATACGACAATGTTTACTGTAACTAGGTAATTTACCTTCTCTAGGATAGAGGCAGTTCGCCGCCTCGCCTTAAAACCCCTAATCCTCTTAAACATCTTGCAATTGGCAGATCTCCTTTGTCTGTCATCTTGTAGTCTGGAAGCTTGGGAGATCTTTCTCAAAAGATTCTCAGAGAATAATTTCATCTTAGATCATACTTTCTTTCCTGTTCTCGCTCTTGAGAAGACAACTGATTTTCCTCTCAAGATTGACTTCCCTCGAATCAATTCGACGCTACCCCACCCCCGCTCAAACATTTTAATCATCATATGCGCATCCTGTTTCCGGTTACAACAACATAGCCTTTGTACTCTGTCGAGTTATTGTATCCGACATGTTGAACAACCATTCTGTTTACAGCTAAGGCATTATGAATTGAAAATTACATCCTTTATTACCAAAAGAAACATATGTGAAACTCCCGGAGTCCTCGCTTGATATAACGATCTGTTTTTCGTACAATCGTTTTGAAATTTGCAACGACAGTTTACCACGTTTCTCCACGATGGCAAAGCTAGTTGTGGTGATGAAAATCGTGCATGCAGTCGTCTTTGGTCTTGTTCTTCAGAGTTGCAGTACAGAAGGTATGATATTGCAGTTGAAAAACAAGATTTACCACGAATTTAGGAGATGCTTGACTTAGCGTGGCCAGACATATTTCATGTGTTGTGCTTTTAACGATCGTAAAAAATATTTTCATTGATTAGCAGAAAGAGCTGATCTTATTGATGTGATGCCGTAGCGTATGAACACTTGGGCTTAAACCCTGGAAACATGTTTGCTTCCATTGACTGTAACTAACAACGAGTAATTAAAGAACTTGTCGGCTTTCCTTCGACCTGAGCCATTTCTTTGATATCGCAGTGTTCATTAATATGTAAACATGACAAGTTAATGCAGTACCGACCAGTGAGTGACTGGTCTCAGAAAATGTCGTGAAAGATTTTGGATTAATCGAGTGTTTCATATACCGACATAATGAGCGGTCTGAAAGTCGATAAATAGCGGTCTGAAAGAACAGATTTGTCGTTCGATTTTCAAACCTTATTTTTTTCTGTTCGTTTATGATTAGTGCGTGACCCCGAACGGCTCAAGTTTCACTCAGGGTGCGTTCCTTTGAGAGAATCCGGATCAGGATTTCTGATTTGTGGGGTTCCTTTCGAGCAAATCCATTTTCAGATCAGTGATTTATCAAATCCACTCTGGACAAGGATTTATTGGATCATTGATCTGCGCGATCTGAAGACGGATCATTGATCCAACGCGTTCCTTTGGGCGAAGGATCCGAAATTAATCATTTTGCCCAGCGGTGCTCAATTTCAAACAAGTGGGTACATCATATATTGACCGGCAAGGTTGTTGGTAACCGCTCCACAAATTTTGCGATAAACACGAAATGCACTCGATTTTGTAATGTTAAATCGATCGGCCACTGATCGCAGGCATTCAGGGTTCCCAAGTATCCATATTACATCTGTAAGTCAATGGTAGGTCTCCATGAGGCAGACCTGGGAAGCAGGCATTCCAAACAGCTGACCGTAGTTCTTGACATCCGAAAATGACTTCAAGAATCTGAAACACTGAAAGAGTGGTTTAATACTTTCAAAATAATTTTTTTCATTTTTAAATTTAGCGCGCAATTCCGCTGACGCGCTCTACAATTTCGCGCCTGCTGTCATGGTAACTGATCTGATGAACTAAAGCTCCGTTCCTCTGATGCACCGTGATCTGTGTGATCTTGGATCACAAATCCTAATCCGGATTCTCCCAAAAGATCGCACACTCAGACTCCTTTCCAGTACTCCATAGTACTTCTTTTTAGTTTATTCGAACCTCCAGCAACCGCTGGGCCACAGCCCGCTCATCAATAAGGCTCTAACTAGGGAGAGGGTTAAGGTCAATCTGGACCAATTTTGCTTCCCTTGTTCACTGTATAATAAACCTGGACAAACCTTACTCAATGGACGGTGGTTACGATAAGTCGCTTTGTTTGTAATCACATGGATATTAGAATCTTTCTCCCAAACCAATAGAAGATTATGGCACAGTTATCCCCATTTCAAATGGAAAATTCCCAGTTTTTAAGGCATGTATTTTCATCATTGTATGCAAAAGAACAACTCATATTCCTTCAATGCATAAAAACAGACAATGTTTAAAATTTTTGCAATATTTTTCAGCTGAACTTCACAAGCAAGTCACTGTTGACTGTGATTTCGACCAAATGTTAGTTCACATAGAAAAATCCTTGATACCAGAGTTTAAAATGAGTGACGTGCGCCTATTAGATCCTAACTGTCAGCCAACAAAATTCGAGAACAGCAGTCACATGACCATTTCTGCACCGTTGATTGGCTGTGGTACCACGTTAGAGCATACGAAAGACAGTCTAATTTACAGAAATATGGTCAAGGATGTTCGGGTGACTCAGTCTATTATCAGCCGATTACAGGTTTGTTTTCTTTTTGTTTGTTTTTAAGTTCAGATAGTTTGACTCTTCAACTCCCAGAAGTGATTAACAGGTAAGTTCTCCCTGTAGTATCCCTATATCCATTATGAAGCAAACAGGTAATTAGAGTACTTAAACATGTTAGGTAGAAGATGTTATCTTGATCTAATACCAAAGTATTGTAAATGATTTACTGGGAAATTTGTAGCAGCTAGAGGGGAGAATTGACGATCAGTTGTTGGGAGTTTAAAGGTTGAGTGTTTATCGGGTACAATTTTTGATGGGACACCTGGCGGTAAATTTCGTTTGATAATCGTTACTAAAAAACTACTTATGCGTGTTACTAAGATATTATGTGCATGTAATGCTGATAACTGTTGTATTATATCTAGTAGAACTACATTTCACAAAAAATTCTTCTTTTCACGATCTTATCTTGAACGTGATTTATTTGTGTCCATTTCCTTATTATCTTTTTTCTCAGGACTTAGAGATTCCATTTGAGTGTACTTATCCAAACCAGGCTGAAGCCTCATTGATTCAGATGAACATCACAAACACCAAAGTCATTTTTCTGGCACCTGACGATGGTTCTGGAATGTTTGATCTGGATCTGAATATTTATAAGGTACGGATGAAAGGACAAGGAGATTATGTGGTGCGAAGGGATGCACTGATATATCAGAGTGCATGAGCATTCACTCTCAACTTGTATTCGCAGTAATAATGTGCCTAAAAAACATTACGCGCTTCTGATTGGCTGAAAACGAGTGCATTCTCATGTAATACGGGTGCAAAGTTGTAACATGAGTTCAAGTTACAAATAGGGTGCGCACGCTTTTAAAATTTCGTCAGTCTTTACTTTCTGTACGATGTTTTTTCATGTACATTATTTACAAGACATTGCTTGCAATTTGGTGCCCTACGGGTTCGTGCAATTTTGTTGTCTTTGAAAAATTTATTCGTCTTATTTAAACCAAACTGCACTCGAATTCATGTTATTATCTAGTTACCTATACACAGCACATTAGCTACTACAACGCGAAGCTAATATCAATGCGACTAAACTATGTTGTTGTGGAGTATTCCAAGGATCGCCCCTCGTCGACAGTCAATGTTCCATACTCTCTCCTTTATACTTTGTTAGCGACGACTGCTCCCCCTTCGTTACCCCTAAATACCGTGTGCTCCCCCAAAAATCATCCGACTCCCCTCCAGGCGATAAATTAAGACTGGCCCCTGTTCCTCCATCATTGTAGTGCACTCTCTTCACTCTACCTTTGATTTCATCCGATCCTAAGTAACCCCTCTGATGAATGCTTTTTTACGTGCTTTGTTTCACAATGCAGAGCGTAGACTATGATGAAGAGTACAGTAGTTTTCCACTGGCGGTTACCCTGCAACAGCGGCTTTACTTACAAGTATCAGTAGACACGCCTGACACGCGGTTGGGTATCGTCGCAGACACGTGCTACGCTACGCCTATAAACAGTATTTCTAAGAAAATCAAGTATGACATCATCGTTGACGGGTAAGTATCAATGATTGTTGTTGCCCATCAATCGAAAATTGGCTCTCGTAACCGAGAGCAACTCTAGCTTCTTGAGTGCTCTCTAAACTTCCCGCGTGCTTGATATCTCGATGAACGCACAGCTGACGTATGAACCAATTGTTGTTTTTCAACCCGATGGTTTAAATGTTGTAAAAGGGTTAATATTCCCTCTGCTACTCTTCAGCGCGTTGATAATTTTGTTTCAGGAAAACATTTTGCTACGCTGTAAACGATCTTGTCTTATATTGGTCAAAAAACTGAAAGGTGAATTCATGCGTGTAAATGAACTTTATTTTCTGATTGAATAAAAAATTCTCTTATCCAAAAGAAAAACAAAGATGCTCAGTGTTTCATTGGCTGACGTCATGAGCGTGCACAATAGGAATATGAAGCACGCTCACGCAATTGAATTTGATTAGACAAATTTACTAGCTATGTTATAAACCAATTTGAATGATAGATCCCTGAACAATTAAGTATGTAAGAATTCCAAAGGGTCAATTATGTGGGCTTTGGTTGATTACCAAACCTCCCTCTTCTCTCTGGGCAAGCGGACTCAGTTGTGCTGGAGTGGGGGTGGGGGGGCGGCAAAAAGCTGTTATATCTGAGGCTATCAATGGAGTGTTTCTTGAATTTATCATTCCCGTGTGCCGTTAGAGTAGATTTCAATTAAGTGCTGATAATAATTGGTTTCGCTTTATTTCGCATTGTGATTGGTCCAGAAACCATGCGCCACTGTGTCAACCAATCAGATGCAAAACTAAAACTGATCACGACTTGGTCGCCCTCTATTGCGACTTTCGGCTCTGATACACTATTTTTTACAATTAAGGTGTCCAAAAGACGAGACCGTGAGATTTCACAGCGGCCCTCCCACCACGCAACGTTTTAGCATAGAAGCTTTTAAGTTCATGAATGGCCAGGTCGTGCCGTACGTTTACATTCACTGTGAAGTCGTCCTATGTAACCTGACAGATGGCAAGCCCAGCTGCATGCAGAAATGTGACCCTCATGTGAATACTAGACTAAGGAGGGAGGTCAATACAGATTATTACGACCTGGAGAAAGGGCCAATAATAATTCTAAGGGATCCTGAGGATAATTTTGAACCAGAGAATGCGGAAGAATTTCGAGAAAATCAAGGTATGAGTGACGCTAGTGAGAAAGAAAGTAAGAGGTGAACCTGGCGGGGGTTTTGGTCCAGGCATACCTAGAGAAAAGTTGGTAGGAATTTCCTAAATTAAAAAAGGCAAGACGGACTCTAGTGAGAAAGAAGGTGAAAGATTAAGTCAGCTTAAGGCCTCATGGTCCTTTAGGTGAGGTACTGTCCAGGTTTGCGAGAGTAAAGCTACTTGGAATGTCTTAAATTATATATGGTGAAATTGGGTTCATGCTTGCTAATGGTGGCGGACAAGACGTCGTGATTACTTTAATTTACTTCAGACTAAAAGATTGAGCTAAAAAGGTTCGACCATATCAAAAGTTTACCTTTGTCTTATTGAGAGATATGTTTCTTCCGTCTTTTCACGGGCGTGGGATAAGGAAAAAAATTCTGAGTCCCCATGAGGTCTCCGAATGTCTGACGTTTGTTTCCTCATGGGGACTCAGAATTTTTTCTTGTCCCACAATCGTGACAAGACGATTAAACACATCTTCCTCGATTTCTTTTCCGAGTTCAAAACTTACCATCTTTCTTATTCTATTTACAAAACATATCGTAATTGTTTTCCAGATCATGGATCCAAACACATGACCAAATGGTTGTTCGTTGTCATGGGATGCGTCTGTGCAATGTGCTTTGGAGCTGTACTCCACACCATGAAAGAAGTCAAACAAGCGAAGTAAATAAAAGTTAAAAGTTTTAAAAGCGTTTACCTTAAATTATTCAATAATGAATGGAGAACATGTTAAAGAAGAAGAGTACTGAATGAATATACTTTTTAACATATGATGGGCCGTTGAACTGGAGAAGCAATTTCAGTTGACATTTGATCGATATAAATGATACACGAATTTCTGCCCGGATTGTTCCAGCTGGATGTGGAGATATGCTTTTTTCCTGTCAAGTTTACATATAAAAATATATTTTCTCATGCTGTAGCGAGAGCGTTTAGAAAACTCAGGCCAAGTAAGGTAACTTGTACTGAAAACGATCACTTTTCTCAAACGTCTGACGCCAGATGATTACGTGGTCTCTGGCTCAACGCGGGCTAAGGTTACTTTCCCCAGAGCTAAGGCAAAACATTTACTTCAACTTTGATCGCACTTTAGTTTAACGTGATACTGCTGAAAACGATTCAAAACAGAGGGTGAACGGAAAACGTGTTAGTCTCGACGAAGTCTAATATAGTACTGAACTAGTCAATCGTGTATCGCTTCTTGTTACCTTATGCGAGTGAAACATTTTCCCTAGGGACACCAAATAGGATTTTTCAACGATATTGTTTTATCTCTAAACAGGTAGATGCCTATTTATAAACCATGCTATCTTTCGAGTGTACCTCAATTTTGGTATACAATTACTTACAAAAATTGGCACTCCAATATGATGATAAAAATGACTTTATATTTAAAATAAATAAAGATAGGGTGCAAGTCATGTTGAAAAATTGGTGAGTCATGTGCTAATTTTTCCTAATTTTTGGAATTTTCGACAATTTTAACCCCCACTTAAACTGAGGCCAACCGGCTCCATGGGTTTTGATTTCTAAAAATCTACGCCAGCAAATTAAAACATATCAATTACTCATCAATGATCATTTAATAAAACAAAAGGCTGTAGGTATTTAAAACTTGGTTAATCCTACAACTGAAATACTACCTACATCGCTTCTGGTAACCGTGATCATAAAAGAATTTGAGAGTAGGCTTGCGTAGAAAAAAGAGAGAGCTTTTTTCTTTTAAAATTCATTAATTGTTTTTTGACGTGACTCTCAAGTCTTCTATAGGCGATAATCGTTTTACCTACACTTCATTCGCAATTGAGATGCCATATCACGATAAAATTTACAAAAATAACATGGTGAACCGATATATAAGATCCTGTCGCTGCGTATGTCGATACCCTAAACTAATTGTTTCACTTAGGCAGGATCCTGGCTCCTTGTTCTAAATGCAATTGGCTTTTGTTGACTTTTTCAGATTCACCTGCATGGCAGCCAGTTATAATACACCTATACTGACAACTATGCAATTTTCTAAGCCCTGGAACTCTCGAATTGAGACTTTGCATTAAAGGATATTCTTATGAAGAATAACTTTGCATCACTGTCTAATGTATCAAATTAAGCTTGGTATAGTATAATGGTGTTAAATTTTCTTTGAGAAATTAAGTAAAACAATAACAATTACCATAAACATCAGCCGATATTCTGAAGTAATAAAAAAGATCTCAACACCGAGGTGATTTAACTTGCCGTTTACTTCACGAAAGTAATGGCACTTTAAACATGAAAAAAAATTAACTAGGCTGGAGCCATTCCTGTTCTAAAATCTGCCATGCGTTATGAATTAACCACTAAAAAAAATGGTAAGTTCCAGCAAAGATAGGAGAAGTCGTTCTGAATTCACGACAGGAAAACAAAAGTTTAGACAGCAGCGATTCCAAGTTTGTCTTTAGAGCAAATCGGCCCAAACGGGGAAGTTACATTTTACAAGCTTATCGTATAATTCTCCCACACTGCGTATAAAGTCTTTATCTCGAGCATAAGCCAACACGGCGTCACAAGGATTTCTAAATCGGTTGTCAAGGAAACGGATCTCTGTCGGACTCAAACCCAGTCGCTCCGCCAATAATTTCCATTCATCTCCACCTGAAATTCCAAGTAAAATTTTAGAGTATTGGAATTGTTACGAAACTACTCCATACTGAATGCACAAGCCAATATCTTAAATACATTGTTGTGAATTGGTGTGTAGGACCCAGCACATCAAATAATTTGAACAGTGATACTAACCACACATTTATGTTGCACGGGAGCAAGAAATAGACGCACCTTCGGTTTAAAAGCATTGTTTTGCATTTGCTCATTTTGGATCAATTAGGAAATGGGTGCCACAAATAATCTGGAATCGCTAAACAAAAGCATTTCTTCTTTCTACGATGAATCTAAAGAACTCCCGCCATCAAGTGGACCAATCAGATGTAAACTGAGAAAATATTAAACGCGACTTGTTCATTTGCGTCAGCCCGCGAAACATTTATTCGTCTTGACTTTGAATTCACATTCGCCCCATGCAGCATTTCCCTCTTTCCTAACTTATTGTTGTGATTCCTTTGGTTTTGATCTAACAATGAATTGAAATGCGAATTGCGGTGCTGTTGTTGAAAGACTTTCCTAATTTTATCCCAATGAAGTCACTATAATAGTGTGCTCACCACTCAAGGCAATTGTCAAATTAAATCTTTGAATATTGGGAATATTTGCAACGTCGCAAATATCAGGCAACAAAGGACCTAAGAAGTAAAAGGAAATCATTGTCATTCTTAAAGACAAAACAAGTTATGCATCATTCACCTCCGTATTAATTGAGGTTACTGTAAAGAATTAATCAAGTGGAGTAACAGAAATTAAACAGCAGTCTTCACGGGATGCTTACTACTCGGCTGTTTACAAGTCTCAGGAAGACGACTTGGACTCGAAATAACCGACTCCAAAACGTCAAGCTGAGATCAGCATTGCCTTCTAACGCTTGATATGTATGTAGGGACATTTCAGAAAATGGTACATTTTAAGCTTGGTCATCGAATGGAAGAAAGTGTAGTATCTCTATTTCATATCAAAATACGGTTAATTAATTAATCTGATAAAGTTCTTAATCATAACAATTACAATTTCCTCGATTGTGATTGGTTTAAAAAACTCCATATTTTCCACTTATTCACTTGCCAGGTTGTTATCGGACAGTTTGTAATCGGAAAGTTCAATAAGCCAATCACATTCCAAGTTGTAGTTTAAATCAACCAATCACATTCAAAGTTGAAGTTTAAATCAACCAATCACAACCTTAAATAATCTACGCCTCCTTTGTCAGTCTATTAACGCAAATTTTCTTTTTCTTTTACAACTTGGCTATTCTTCTTTTCTCTGAAATTGTAATTTTTATGATCAATCGGAAACAAGACTTCGTGTCGTTCAATTCAGTCTGTAATCATACGATTTTGTTATCACTCGTATGATTACAGACCGAATTGGACTCCACTCGGCCCTATTACCGTTACTAAAAAGAAAGGAGTACGAACTACTCCAATTTTCTGCTTTCTGTAGATCTCCCAAACACTTTACCTGTTGTACCAGCAGGTACTATCTCTCGTAATCGTTTTACAACATCAAGTCTATCTGTAGATTTGGCTT